GGCGCGCCCCCGTATGACGTCAGGCCATTTACAGCCTTGCAGGCGGGGGCACAATTGCGCGCTCCGCCTGGGGTGCCAGCTGCTGCAGCTGGCCTCAAGCCACTCCTGAGCCCATCATATACCTGAACCCCCTGCCCTGGGCCCCTCATCTCCCCACATCCTCAGTGCTGCACCCCCACATCCCTAGTCCCCTGCCATAATGCTTCTGCCCCCACATACCTCAACTTTGTGCCGGGATTCCACAATACACCCAAATCCCCTGCCTTGAGCCCCGCTCAGACTCCTGCACCCCCATATCCCTAAGCCCCTGCCCTAAGATTGACATAAGACAGCTTGAATGCGTGCATGAAGCTGAATCTAACCAGTTATGATGTGCAAAAAGATGCAGTAGAAGTCCCATTAAATAAGGTCTGCGAGTGCCATGTTTCATTTATGCTATTATTAATTGGTAGCATTATCTGTCCTGCTGTGATAATAGACATATGCGTGGCCTCCTGCCTCCCACTCCCAGAGGAGGCGGCTTGGGCTGCAGGACCTCCTCCCTCCCTGCTGCTTCCAGGGACAGAGGGGGTAGGGGACGAGGAATAGGAAGGGGGTTGGTGCAGTGAATTCTCTTTCTTCCCTGCTTCTATGAGGCTTCTGGGGCACATGTGTGCTCCTCCCCTCTCCATATGGGTGGCCTCCTTCCTCCCCATTGCTCTGGAGATACTTGGGCACACACACTCTTCATCTCCCTGGGCTATTGGTGGGGCTGGGGGGGAATCTGCCTTCCTCTAGAAACTTCTCAAGTCTTCTCAAATGTTCTCTGTGACAGATAGCGTGACGGACACCTTTCCTTTTATAATAGTATATACACATATCAATTAATAATATTAAGTTGTATATTTTCAGTCCTGCAAATGGGCATTGTTATACAGCCCTTTGTTGACCACTTTTCTGAATTTTGATGTAGTTTGGCTCTTTGGTTTGAAAAGGTTGCCAAGCCCTGCTTTAAAATATCTTACATATCAAATGACTGGAGGATAGCTAATGTGACGCCAATTTTTTTAAAAGGGTTCTAGAAGTGAGCCTGGGAATTAGAGGCTGGTAAGTCTAATGTCAGTATCGGGCCAACTGGTTGAAACTATAGTAAAAGAACAGAATTCTCAGGCAGCTAGATGAACATAATCTGTTGGGGAAAGTCAACATGGGAAATCATGCCTCACCAACGTAATTGAATTATTTGAGGAGTCAACAAGTATATGGACAAGAGGCATCAAGTGGATACAGTACACTTAGATTTCCAGAAAAGCTTTCATAAGGTCCCTCACCAAAGACTCTTAAGCCAAGTAAGCTGTCATCAGATAATAGGGAAAGTCTTATCATGAATTGAGAACTGGTTAAAAGATAGGTAAGAGTGGTAATAGGCAGAGTCTCACTGGGGAACCTTCTGGGACCAATGCTATTCAACATATTCATAAATAATCTGAAGAAAGGGATAAACAGTGAGGTAGAATAATTTGCAGAGGATACTAAACTGCTCAATATAGTTAAATCCAAAGCAGACTGTGAAGAGCTTCAAAAAGAATTTCATAAAACTAGGTGACCAGGCAACAAAATGGCAGATGAACATTAGTGTTGATAAATGCAAAGTAATATATATCTGAAAACTTAATCCCAACTACATGTACAAAATGATGGGGATGAAATTAGCTGTTACCTCTCAAGAGTCATTATGGATAGTTCTCTGCAAACATCTACTCAATATGCAGCAGCAGTCAAAAAAGCATAACAGAATATTAGGAACCATTAAGGAAGGGATACAGAATAAGACAGAGAAGATGTTATTGCCTCCGTATAAATCTGTGCTATGCCCACATCTTGAATATTGCATGTACATGTGATCTAATTACAAAAAAAATCTTGGTACTAGAAAAAGTTCAGAAAAAGGCAACAAAAATTATTAGGAGTATAGAACGAGTTCCATGTGAAGAGAGATTAATGAGACTGGGACTTTTCAGCTTGGAAAGGAGATAACGAAGGCCACTATAATAGCGGTCTAAAATCATGACTGGTGTTAAGAAAGTGAATAAGGAAAAGTTGTTCACTTGTTCCCATAACACAATAGAGTTCACCAAATGAAATTAATAAATAGCAGACTTAAGAGAGGGATGTAAAAATGTAAACATGTACATTGTTATCCTATGAGCCTGGGCGCCTCAGTTAGCATGCTTAGTTACATGTAGCCCTTCCCATCTCCTCCACATTGCTGCCTTTGTATTAGAGGCAGAAGTGCAGGGGAGCAGGTGGGAGACAGTCTGAACAGGGAGCCAGCTTTTAATTTCAGTGGTTACATGATTTAAACCAGGGATGTTTAAATGCATTTAAACAAAGGAAGTATTTCTTCACACAGTGCACAATCAACCCGTGAAACTTCTTGCCAGAGGATGTTGGATCAGGATTTTAACAGTTTCAAAAAACTAAATACATTCATGACAGATAGGTCCATCAATTGTTATTAAGCAGGATGGGCAAGAGTGGTGTCCCTAACCTGTTTGTCAGAAGCTGGGAATGGATCATTTGATGTTTACCTGTTCAGTTCATTTCTTTTGGGAAAACCTAGTATTGGCCATTATTGGCAGATTGTATACTGGGGCTAGATGGAGTCTAAGCAAGGATGGTTGTTCTTTTTTCCATATGTTATACAAATCAAAGTTTTGTTAAATTGGAAATTTTTAACAGACAGATCAAGTGGCACAGTTATTGCAATTTACCTTCTTTGCTGTAATCATGTCCATCTTGTCAATTGCTACATAAAAATTAAAGAAACAAATATGGTTTCATAATTTCATAGTAATTAAGACAGTAATATTATAATTTGGAATTATGTTCCTGTAACAAGCAGTATTCTCAAAAAGAAACAGAATTACTGAAGGCAATGTAAACTATAAGTAATTTACAAAGAGGGTTTGGTAGAGAGAATAAAAATTTCTGCTTTTTTTGGACAACTAATATCTTGCATCATTCACAATTAGTTCACATGGTCTTAAAAACAAAAGTAATAGGAATGATTACAGCCATTTCCTATAATTTGCTGAACATTCTCAGCTCCCTCCAAAATCAATAGAATTTTAGGTCAGTCGGAACTTCACAGAACTGGGGTCTTAGCCACTATAGAAAACAGCATGCTAAAGTATTAATTATTATAAGTCAATACACACAGCAATCTGAAATTTAATGTTCAATGTGAGTTGTATCATCATACCTTCCTGAATTTTTGCAAGTGGGAGGCACATAATGCAAAAGAATCCATTGCTTGTGAGAATGAACATATGATAGATTCCTATAAAATAAGCACAAAACTAAGTTTCTAAAAATGTAAAAATAATTTAGACCAAACTTTTCACTAGATTAGGATAATTTTAAAAGAGATCTAGTTACTTTAATAAAATGTAAGAACATTACCACACACAGAAAGATTAAAAAAACCCACAATACATAAGACCAAGATTAAAGGCAACATACATAACACAGCATGAGATATCCCATGCAACTATTAGCTGATGAATGATATCATTACTAGAACTTTGCCAATACTAATGATGCCATTAAGTATTGATTACAATTGCACAAAATTCCCTTATCACTAATGTCACTAAGTATATAAAACAAAAAACAGGACTAACAAGATGGTTTATTAGGTGATGAGCTTCCGTGGGCCAGACCCACTTCCTCAGCTCTGAGGAAGTGGGTCTGGCCCACGGAAGCTCATCACCTAATAAACCATCTTGTTAGTCTTTAAAGTGCTACATAGTCCTGTTTTTTGTTGCAGCTACACCAGACTAACAGGGCTACATTTCTATCACTAAGTATATATACACCTTTAAAGGCCAAATCCTGAGATCCTGACGTCAACTGGTGTTTACATATGTAAGAATCAAGTTAGGTTGACCAGAAAGATACTACCTGCTTTAAAAAAAAAAATTAAAGGTTTCTTATATTCACACCTGTGTCCTAAAAGAATAGATCCTAAACACACCCCCTAAGTTCACATCTGTCAATGCTGAAAGGCTAGCCAAGGAAACGATAGCTGAAGTTATAGGCTCTCCAATGAAAATGTAATGCTCCAGATGTTCATATCTAGGTACAGTTTGAAAAGATGTGTCAGCAGAGACATCTTTAATGTGTAACCATCAGAACCAAGTAAGTTTCAGAGGGAATTTATGCCAAATAGAAGATAAGTACTGATGTCATACTTATATAAAAGCCAGTACTTTAAAGACACATGCATCAGACATTTTTTAAAGGTACCACCAGCCATTATAAAATTTTAGTCACTAACTACCTTAAATAGCGACAAGGAGTCCTGTGGCACCTTATAGACTAAAAGATGTGTTGGAGCATAAGCTTTCATGGGCAAAGACCCATTTCATCAGATGCAGACTAACACAGCTACCCCTCTAATACTCGATACCTTAAATAGATTATCAAAAAACATTTTTCCCATCCAAAAAGAAAAAAAAAAAATCAGTAAGCATATACATATATACATATGTACAGGGCCGCCAGCCGTGCTGTCCGGCGATCTGCACATGCGCAGATCGTTCTGCGTATGTGCAGATCCCCCGAACCCAGCTCTTCCGGGTTACAATCTACTCGCCACAGGTGAGTAGATTGTATTATTTGTCGAGCCGTGTGTGTGTGTGCTCACACACACACACACACACACACACAAATATATATAAATTAATACCACAAAATATAGTCACAAACATGCAATTTAGTTTCTCTGGTTAGATTAAACAGAAGTGAAACACATGACTATTCAAGAAAATGTATTTACAATGTAAAAAGGGTGAAATCCTGCACCACAACAGTTAATGGGAGTTTTGATATTGACTTTTTTCCCCCCCACAAAGTCAAGATTTCATCCCACAAATAACCAACTGCTCAGGATAGGCCTGATGCAATATCAATCAAGTCAACAGGAGTCTCTCCATTGATCTCAGTAGATTTTTGATTAAGCCCTGTTGCCTGGGCCACCTATCAAGTGGGGCATAATAATCCATCAATATATAGGCAACCTACGTAGCTTCCCTGGGATTCTACAATTTAGGAGTACACTCACCCCAAATAATATGTGTATGCCCACTTTTTAAAAATAAAAGTGAAAATCTGAAATTAGATTTAACCAAATCATTCAGTAAGTGATTATCATCTACATTCTGCAAAGACTTACTCACATGCTTACTTGTACACATGCAAGAAATTCCACTGAAACAAAAGGAAATACATGTGTACAGTTAAGTATTTTTGTAAGATCTGGGCTTAAAACAGCAATGAGACATCCTTTTAAATATCCTGAATGCACTTTTAAATGTAACACAGCAAGAAGGATATACAAAAGACATAATACATACAAAATGATTACTCTTTGTTTTCAACCCTTGAAGATTCAGAGCATTCTGGCCCTGATCAAACCTAATACACACACATGCGCTTAACTTTAAAAATGCAATTCATTGAGACTCCTCCTATGGTTAAATGTATGTGCTGACATGCTCTATCAGATCAGGATCAGAGTGCTCCATACTGGCAGGATTGAGCCCTAAGTAGTCAAGTCAAGCTATCACAACACATACATTTTTATGTTAACCAGAGTGATTTCTCATCCAGCTTATTTTTAATTCTGAAGGCTTACAGCAAGAATTATCTGAAAAAACATACCTTCATCTGCAGTATCTTTTTCAATAAGAAGATTTAGATAAGTCTTTTCATCTGGAGATTTCTGAACCAAAACCTAAAATACAGATCAACATACACAATTCCATGTTTGATTAAATTATGTTATAGGAAATACATATTAAACCAATATTTCTTCCCTGAAATTCTGCATTAACATGCAGTTTTGAACAATAAAGAATTGGTAACATACATAATTACTTTAGGGATCAGACCTGCACACTTTTAGAGAAATAATCCTTATCCTTATAAAAAATTGGTTTAGGTTTTGGTTTCTGTATTTAAATGAAGTTTACTAGAGCTGGTATTCTCAATAAATGTTACGTGAAGGAAAAAAAACTCTCTATAATCTAACATTCTTAGTTAGCCAAAGCAAGAATCACGCTCAGTTCATTCATATTTTCATATTTGACACAAGTAAGAAATATGCAAGCAATTGAGAATAGAGGAAAAAAGTTCCATACATTAGTTAATAAAGTTTGCTTTGATGGCACATGAATAAGATGTAGGCTGCCACTTTGCTCACCGACCACAAGAAATTGTCCTTTTTGACACAAACCAACCACATCCACGTCAGTATCTGAAAATTCCAAAGCAAATTTCAAATATTAGATCATAATAGAGAATGCAGTTCAAGCATTAAGAAGTTTTAGTGCAGCTTCTCAAATTCCTTTAAATATTTATTTTGTAGAAGTGCCAAGAAAGGCATATTCTCCCACTTGCTCCAGGCACCTCTGCTACAAGTTTAAAAAAAAATTAACTCACCACAAACCTCCAGAAAATCAGGGGCTTAGGACTAATATATTTATTCTAAAAATTGTTCACAATTCATTTTATGTGAGCTGGTAAATTACTGTTCTAATATCAACGGAGTTTTGTAGTCTCTTGTAAAAATGGTTTTGTTTAACTTGTAAAAATATTAGTTGCTCGTGTTTCTGAATTTTCAAATTACTTTCAAGGTAATAAAAACAGCAGATTAGTCTGCCTCCACAGTTACAAATTTGATCTCTCCCAATTGTCACTCACAATGTAAATTGGAGATCCTTTGGATCTTATCTAATTTCACTTTTTTAACCCAATCCTGCAAGTATGCACACCAACTTTTACTCATGTGAGTGGTCCAACAAAAGCCATTATGATATCCCACGTTTAATATTAAGCTTTCATGTATAACTGTTTCCAGGATTAGGATTTGTGACTTCAGATACAAATCCTGCAAGGAGCTTCATGTAGGTAAATTGCACTCAGTGAAGTGAGTAGTAGCTTTGTTAATGGCCTCCAGTGACAACAGAAGCACTGTATTGTTCATACAAACGTGCTATTTTTTTTTATCTAGAAATTTGGGACTGGTTGAATCACAGGGGTCCTCTTGGGATTGTTACCTGGTGTGCTGGACATGCCATTAAGCTTGCTAACCTGCCCACTTGGGCACCCCACCGTCCTGTTCTGCTGGGCCAGAAGCTCTGATCTCCCCGAATCATTGCACAGAGTTGAATAGTTCCTCTTTGTATTTATTTTGCTCAAAGGCAGGAATTTTGTGTGTTCAGTTTAAATTTTTCTCGCCTTGAGTGGAAAAGTACCAGATGCAAGATGAGTTCCAGCATTTGGAGGCATGATCACATCTTTCTAGGACCAGTTTTGTTTGGGCCTACAGGATAAACAAAACCCTTCACAGGTTGATGACTTTATCACTCAGCCATTAAGGTCTTAAGTATCACTAGTGGCTAATAACAGAAACCCTGGATTAATAAAACGGGTTCCTACTTTAAGTTGTTTTTATTAACCGAATCCATAAGCAATTTTGACTTACAGTTAGTTTAATTCCAAAACAATAAAAAAAAACTCACCAAACTGAACGTTCATCTGAAAAGACTGGCAAACACTATCAAGAAGTATCACTGATCTGTCAGCCACAATAATACAGGTATCATCTGAGTTGCATGCACATAGCTTTGGATTAAATAGGACCTTAGAAATAAAAAGAACTGTGAAATTACAAGCAACTAAAGAACCTTTCAAAATAAAAACTAGAGTAATGCTTTTCAACAATTAAAGTAAAACAATATGTAATAATATACTAGTCTAAAGCACTTTTGCAGTAGTTCTGAGTAAGTTCCAGCATAACAAACTCTGATTCTAACAAGTATTACCTTTTCAGAAGAAATTTTAACTAGCCTATCCTCTTGGTACAAGGCAGTTCCACATTCTTGTCTTGAATCTATGTTCAGTTGTCCACTGCATGTATCATCATTTGTCAGAAATTCAATACTATTCCACATGCTGAAGAAACCCTTTACCTATGATAAATAGACAGACAAATCATAGCAGCAAAAACTGTGATATTAAAGCAAAGTGACATTTAAACAATCAATATTATTACACAGAACTCACTGATTTTTGTCATGAGACTATGATTCTGTATTTAAAGAGGATGTCACAATAAACTGTGTGTTCCCAAAGTTAAGAGACACTGTGATGGGATAATCACCCCCACACAAGGCCAAAGAAAGAAAAAAAGTCAACTACCTGACAGGCTATGCCTGGATTGGAGTCAAGGCTGATAAAGTCTAAGGGACAATGAAGTCCAGCTAGACAGGCTGACCTGGTATATAAATGGAGTGCAAGAAAAAAAAAAAACCTACGTGAATGGAAGCAATGGTATCTGGCAACCCTGCACGTGGGCAACAACAAACAAAGTGTCTCATGGCCACACAGAGAACCATGATGGGCTCTACGTGGATTGAGAGCCACAGGCTGCCACCACAAGCTTAGACCATAGTTACTGGACATAAGTCCCTGGGCTGGAACTCATGGTAGTAGGAAGTTTATGTTCCCTGGTTAGCCAATGGAGAAACAACATAGTGTGAACAGAGGAATGGAAGATTGTCTGAGAGAAATAATCCATTGGGACTTTGAAACCCTGAAATGGAGAAAACTACAATGACCTGTCAAAAGGGACAAATCATGAAGAGAGATCACCATGAGTTACGAAGAAAGAGGAATTGAGTCCAGGGACCTCTAATTTTGACACCAGACTCAGTATTTTTAGATCAGCCTAAAAGCTATAGTTGCACAGCTCTGCAAAAGTTTGCCTTGAAATAATGGCTTGAGATTTCATGAAAATCCCACCATGAAATGCCACAAGTTGGCCCAATCTAACTCTCTGTAATAATACTTGTCTTTTGTGATGAAATCTACTAGCTGAAGCCCCTTGGTGTAGGTAGTGAGTGATTACGACTCCAGATTCTGGGTCTCTCAGGTGCACTTTCTTAGTGCACACCCTGAGTTTGATGTGCCGCTATGTAGTGGGCTACCAAGGGACAGTGCTTCAGACTTCACCACAATAGGAGTATGTCTACATTGCCACCCTAGTTCGAACTAGGGTGGCTAATGTAGTCATTCAAATTTGCAAATGAAGCCCAGGATTTAAATATCCCAGGCTCCGACATTTTTAAATGCCCCATAGTTCAAACTACCTGCCCAAGGAGTAACGGTAGTTCGAATTAGGAGCTTTAATTCGAACAACCTAGCCTGTGCCATGTGTAGCCGCGGGCAGGTAGTTCGAACTACGGGGCATTTAAAAATGGTAGTGCCCGGGAACATGCAAATAAAGCCTGGGATATTTAAATCCCAGGCTTCATTTGCAAATTTGAATGACTACATTAGCCACCCTAGTTCGAACTAGGGTGGCAATGTAGACATACTCCTATTGTGGTGAAGTCTGAAGCACTGTCCCTTGGTAGCCCACTACATAGCGGCACATCAAACTCAGGGTGTGCACTAAGAAAGTGCACCTGAGAGACCCAGAATCTGGAGTCGTAATCACTCACTACCTACACCAAGGGGCTTCAGCTAGTAGATTTGCAAGTTCGAATGACTACATTAGCCACCCTAGTTTGAACTAGGGTGAGAGTGTAGACATACCCTAGCTTAGTTACATTTCCTGCAGAGTCCATCTGGTTGAATGAGCTCTGGTTTACCTAGCTGCATTCTTTGTGGGCAACATGCCAATAATGAAAGAACTCACATACTTGGCCAAGAAATATCTTCAATGCACACACTGCTCTTAAAGCATAAGAGACTTACTAATCTATATAAGAAACTTCTGAACACAATATCCTTTTGTCTGATCTGGTCCCCAGCTATCTCCACTTCCTCCTGCTGAGTCTTCTGTTACTCCTAGTGAAATGGCACCCTTTGATGGAGAAGTACAATTTATGAAACTGTACTCTTACCAGACAGTTGCACAGCTGAGAGCAAATGCCAGTACTCCAACCATTCCCTTTATCCCAACAGGCTTCTGTAAAATAGGACACTATCCTGGACAAACCTTACTGACTTAAATACTTGCATTTTAATATGATAGAGTCCTAAAATACATAATTCTGTAAGGTTAATTTATGTACCTACTATAGAGGCATTGGAATTATTAGTATTTGAAATTATTTATATGGGAAGTAACCAAATGCCAATTTAAATTTTTTGATTAAATCCAAAAGGCAAAAGATACATTATACTGTTTCTCTGAACAAAAAGTCTAAATAAGCAATTCACCATATTCAAATATTAACAAAACATTATAAACCTTTGATTAAGATACTTACAAACAGGAGAAGCTGGGGGTGCTAAGCCCCACTTGTTGGTTCCAACCTTTAACACTGGACTTTTTTATATCCTTTAGCAAATAAGTGATATAATTGCCAATTACTGACTTCAGCTAAAAATCAATTTTGAAACAGCTCATCCTTATTTCTAGTCTTAATTCGATTAAAATTTACAACCTTCTTTCTTAAGGTCTTTCCTCATCTCTCCCCCACACAAACACACTTCCTGGTCCCCCAACAACTTTTTCGTTGAACCTGTCACGTAGATCATGTTAGTATATGGAGAAGGAAAGTCCATGCTATCTCATTTTAAGATGAGTTTTTTTTATTTAAAAAATATAAATCTGCAGTCTCCCCCTCAGAAACCTTGGCTTGCAACTCAACAGTGGATTGCTGTGGGTCCCCTTGCTGCAGGGGCAGCAGGTGACTAGTGAGGGTGCCACGGCAGGCCTTTTGCCTCTTCTTGCACAGTGGACCACGCTGTATGCCTTAAGCAGCCAGCAGGAGGTCTGGCTCCTAAGTGATGGCACCATGGGCTCCATGCACTACCTCCACACTCTCACTGGCTAATTCCTGCCCAATGGGAACTGGGGAGTGGGTGGGTTTGTGGCCAAGAACAGCATGCAGAGCTGCTTGTGTGCCTCCACCTAGGAACCAGACTTGCTGCTGGCCACTTCCATGGCACATCATGGTCTGCTATGCCAGGAAAGACAGTGTTGGGGTCAAGGGAGGCAACAACAGGAAACTATTTTAGTACCCCCACTGCATCATGACCGTGAACCACGGGAGGTAAGTATGTGACCAGCCACAAGCACCAACCCTCTGCCCCAGACCTGAATCCCCCTACCAATAACCCCCTCTCATTCCTGTCCCTCCCCTAGTCAACAGATATAATTATGTTGCACCAACAATTTTCTTCAACAGTGTCACAAGGAAAATGTTTGAAAAATTACTCAGTTAACACTTTCCCAGGCATAGATTATTCACTACGTGTCAAGTTTGTGCCACATGATGGTTTCTCTAATTCAATCATTGTTAGAAGTACAAGCAGATTGTTCTCAATTGCAACTGGAATGTATAACTGGACATTGACATTTCTCAAACTGTTACAGCTGTCAAATGTTATCCGAGCCACAACACCCAGTGACTTGCAGTCCAGCAATTTTTTTTACATGAGTTTCACAAATCCAGATGGGCAGGTGCTAGTTCCAAAAACTCAATTCTGTGTACTCTGTCAAAAAAAAAAAAGTAATATAATCTTACCAGTTTTGACTGTATTTGTAATTAATTGAAACTAGAATCACAGTATACCAGAACTGGAAGGGACCTTGAGAGATCATCAAGTCCATTCCCTACCCTCACGGCAGGGCCAAGCACGGTCTATATCATCCCTGATAGATGTCTGTCTAACCTGCTCTTAAATATCTCCAGTGATGGAGATTCCACAACTTCCCTAGGCAATTTATTCCAGTGTTTACCCATCCTGACAATTAGGAAGTTTTTCCTGATGTCCAACCTAAACCTCCCTTGCTGCAGTTTAAGCCCATTGCTTTTTGTCATATTATCAGAGGCCAAAGAGAACAATTTTCCCCCTCCTCCCTATGACACCCTTTTAGATAGCTGAAAACAATACCATGTCCCCCCTCAGTCTTCTCCTTTCCAAACTAAATAAGCCCAATTCCTTCAGCCTTCTCTCATAGCTCATGTTTTCTAGACTTTTAATCATTTTTGTTGCTCCTCTCTGGTCCTTCTCCAACTTTCTTAAAATGTGGTGCCCAGAACAGGACACAACACTCCAATTGAGGCCTAATCAGCCCAGAGTAGAGCGGAAAAATGTCTTCTCATTGTCTTGCTCACAACACTCCTGTTAATGCATCCCAAAATCATGTTTGCTTTTTTTGCAATGCTGTCACACTTTTGACTCATATTTAGCTTGTGGTCCACTATGACCACTAGATCTCTTTCTGCCGTACTCCTTACTAGATAGTCACTTCCCATTCTGTATGTGTCAGACTGATTGTTCCTCCCTAAGTGGAGCACTTTACATTTGCCCTTATTAAACTTCATCCTATTTACCTCAGACAATTTCTCCAATTTGTCCAGATCATTTTGAATTATGACCCTATCCTCCAAAGCAGTTGCAACTCCTCCCAGCTTTGTATCATCTGCAAACTTAATAAGCATACTCTCTATGCCAGTATCTAAATCGTTGATGAAAATATTGAACAGAACTGGTCCCAAAACAGACCTCTGAGGAATCCCACTTGTTATGCCTTTCCAGAAGGATTGTGAACTGTTAATAAGATTTCAAGATTCCAAACCCACCAAAAGGAATAGCCAGAAATTCTGCTGACCAAGGTCCCCTGTAAGCTGTGTGCCTGTGCACTTGTGCAGCAGTTTTCTGAGCTCTGCTCAGAAGTTCAAAGCTCTCCCGTAGGCAGGGAACTCAGCTATTCAGTGGGGGGAGGGGTATTTCACTCAGCAAACAGCTAAACTGAGCTAGCTGCCTGCTTGGATTGAGGAGCTTGCTGAGCCTATAAAAAGGGAGATAAGGAGACCATTAGTGGCTGGAGGGAGAGAGTGAGTAAGTAGGTAATTGGCTGATGAGGAGGCAGAGGGAAGGGGAGTTTAGAGTGTTCTTCTGCAGGAGGAGAGAGAGGTAGAAATTCAGCATTCTCAAGCTTCTGGGGAAGGGGGAGATAAGAGGCTGACTGCAAGAGAGGTGGGTGGGTGCTCGCATCTGTGCAGTAAAGTAGAGGCAGGGATCAGTTTGGGATTTTCTGACTAGCTGCAGTCCTCTCTGCCTGACTCGGTTGAAGCGGGAGCAGGCTGCAAGGGAAGTGTGTGTGCATAATTGCATTTCAAACTAAGTTTGCATATAGCTCACATCATTCTGAGAAAAGGGAAGAACAAACAGTTCAATACATCCTCCATACAATACACAGCCCTTGAATCTTAGAATACTACAAATAGAAGGGGTCTCAGGAATTCATCAAGTCTAGTCCCCTGCACTCATGGCAGGACTAAGCACCATCTACATCATCCCTGACACATGTTTGTGTAACCTGTTCTTAAGAAATGTCCAATAATGGAGATGCCACAACTTCCCTAGAAAGTTTATTCCAGTGCTTAACCACCCTGAGCCTAAACTTCCCTTGCTGCAATTTAAACCCGTTGCTTCTTGTCCTATCATCAGAGGTTAAGACTGAAGAGGAAGAGAAGTGGGAGGGCCCCTGAAGCTACTCCCAGCCCTGGAAGAAGACCAGCTACAGCTGCCCTGCCAAGACTTAAAGAGGTACAAGAAGAGCCCCAGAAAACGCCGGGGGTAGAACTGATGGGGAAGAGGAGTAGAAGTAACTGCTAGGCAGGGGCGAGGCAGACGTGCATGGGAGAACTCTTGCCACAAGTGGACAGCACAACCGTAATAAGGCAGGGGACCTG